CCCTGTTCTTTGGTCAGACTGTAACTCCAATCGTATGTTACTTTTCACGTATCAAAGTGGAGTGGTCATGAAAGACAAATTCCAACCAAGTTCAGCATCTGCGGGTATTCTGGCAGTGTGCCACTTCAGAACTTAGTCAGATTTTGGTCAGTTAAGGAGACAAAATTCCCTTGCTTTTCTTTCCTTTCCCCCCATATTTGTTTTTGTAGTTCTGTTCGTAAGCAGGATCATACGAGAATGTGACTTTTTTCCTTAATAAATCAGACAAGATAGAAAAATCTCTATGCCCTTCCAACATGTTGCATTTATACTGGATTTTATGGAAGAGGTTCCAGTATTACGTCTTGGTGACAAATCCATAAAAAAACAAGGAGTTAGGTTTTGGGAGGGGTAGATGTTTTTTTCTTTTTTAATTCTGATATATTTAGCAGTACAAACTGCATGTAGTTTTGGAAATTTGCACGAATACTCTGCATTTCCGAAATCTCATCAGGTGAATTGCTGGAAGCAGTTGATTTTCATAAAAGCCTTCCACCTCTGAAGCCAAAACCTGCCTGGTAAAAACAGGCTTCATGACCTGATAGAAACCTTCTGTGCAGATCCAGCGTAGGTCTTCACTGTGAAGAACATGCTGAACGTTATCACCTGCACTGAGCCTGCTAGAATGCAGATCTGTTCATGGCATGAAGTTCAACAGTTTAAAATGTATATAGTAAGCATATAGGCTCTCTATAATCTTGATTTAAGTATAAGATCAAGCTTAATCTCTTCTGGATCCATTGAGGAAAAAACAGAATATTAACTGGAGGAAACAACCCTAATAAATTTTATAGATTATGTCTCACCGACCCTTTTATGTGGTGTTGTTGTGTGGTGTTTTGGTTTTTTGTTTTGTTTTGGGGGGGTGGTTTGTTTGTTTGTTTGTTTTCCCAGTATTTACACATAGGCTGGAGAGTCCTCTGGTTGCAATAAGGATCTTTGTTACCCACAGACAGGAATGTGAATTCTTTAACCAAAAATATAAAACCAACCCACTTGTAAGCAAGTTAATTTTAAGGGAATACCCTCTTGGATTACAAAGGCTCTGCAGACCCAAAAAAAAAAAAAAAGGGCAGTTTCCCGAGGCATCTAACTTCATCTTTACAGGCTCATTTACTATGTCAGTTTAAATGCAAGAGTAACTCATTTAGCTGTGCTATTAACTCTTACTCTCTATAAGGCTGTACGGTGGCAGCCAGAGTCCCAGGGAATTGAGCGGGACAATAGAAGAGCAATATTCGATGGTAGGGCCACATATGGTCTCATCAGTACATCAATGGGTTTAGTCACGCTCTTTGTCATCGGAGGGTGAGCCACCCATTTCAACATCAAATGGCTGTCACTTTTACTTTGCAAGGTTATCTTATGCCATTCCATTGGAAAGATCTCTGAACAAAATCACAACATTTGGCTCATTTATTCAAAATCAGAAGTCTTATTAAGAGAGCAGGAAAATCTGAATCGAATACACTGAAATACGTGAGGCTAATGTTCTTTTGTCCCAAGTTATTTCTCAAGTGCTGCCTGAAAATGGCATTGCATGCTGAGTGTGCACAAATGCTACATAAATAACATACCCTTGGAGATGCATGCACATTAAATCCAAGTTAATTGGTTGTATTTCATATTTTAAGACGTAATCTTTGTGTCATAGAAACTAGAGATGGGAGTGATCTCTGAGATCATCTTATCCACCCTACTGTTAATGCAAGCCTGTTCCCTGAAGAATATTCTGAAGCGTTTCAGCTTGTCTAGGTTTACGCAAGTGTAACTGTGGAGCTTCAAGTCCATTGGGAGCCTGGGGTATAGCACAACTGTTAAGGGTTTTTCTCTAGCACTCACCCTAAAACTTTTATTTCCTAAAGGCATTCTGCTATTTCTCATTACACTATCTTGGATTTACCTACGGTTCTGGGAACCATTAAAATCCTAATCAGTTCTTCCTTCTCCTTCATAAATTTAAATACAGAGTTACCACGTTCTGCCTGTCTCCTGTGTTTTCTTGTAGCCAAGAATGACATTGTTCTCCTAATTTTTTCTTACAAACCACTTCTGGCAAAAAAAATATTTTTTTTTGCTTTGCTAAGAAATCTCTCTAACCTGTTAAATAATTAGTTTATGATGTCTACAAAAACAAGACTAAATTTCAGGGCCTTGTAGAGGCTTTACTTCTTTTCATGTTCAGTGTCTGTGCACTTGGAATTTGTGATACAGGGATCCTATTATATACTCAGTTTCCACTTGTGGTGAGCCTAAAATTCACTGATGCCACTAAGGCATCTAAAATACCATCCAGCGATCTTGAAGCCTCTGTGTGCCATTATGGCCTTTTGGCTGTTTCCTATCAGTTCGTTGTCATACTTTTTTTTAACTATTATTTTCTCTCTTTTTTGTTTTTTTTTTCTTTACTAATGACTTAATCTTCTATTTCTGTGGACATCCTCTTCAGTGTGCTGAACACTATAAGCCTTGAAACCAAGCATAAGCTTAATTTTCAACTGGGCCAAAGGGAACAGCAGTCCTCCAGCACAAACCTTAAAGATTGTTTATGTTTCTCAGTGATTTTAATAAAACTTTGATTTTTATATTAGTTGTATATTTAACTCCAGTACTCTTTCATTTCAGCTTGTGACTCATGGGAGTGCTAGGTTACACAAGAGTTCAAGACATGTAATAGGGTGGTTCTTTCCAAACAGGAATTTTTTCTTCAGTAGCAGTGTTTGCAGTTCTTGATTTTTGGCTCATACTTGTGTCAGACCCACTAAAAGTGGAAAATTTTGTGAATAGATTATGTGAAACAATATAAAATTTGGCAAAATCTTCCTGTGGCCTTTATGGCATTTCTGTTCAAACCGCTAGCTGAAGTTTCTGCAGATAGCAGTAAGTGCCCTCAAATGATACACTGGTTTCATCAAATGCCTGTTTTCTGGTTGCAAGAATAGAACTCTAATCCTGTTTTCTTTAGTCTAAATTCAATTGTTTTATTTTTCATCTTGAATAAATGGCTTCTGACTGAAATCTTGACTTTTTCCTTGCCTGAGATCCTGATAGTGTTTATAAGTATTTGACTAAGATACATTGTGCCTGTCTGTGCCTAATGAAGCACTAACCAGACTAAATGATGAATGGCAGTTTAATCAATTCAGTTCATTCGGAAAACAGCAGAAGCATATGGAACATAAATTTTAACCTCTCTTTTACAAACACCTGAATTATTCCAAAATTGGACCAGAAATGTGTTTTCTGAATTTTTCTTTCACTTCTTAATGCCTAAGTAGAAACTTTGCTTTAATATATATGTTTTGAGAAGTAGAATTAGAAAAGAGTGATGTATGTTTAATTTTCTTATACAGGAAATTTGACTATCAGCTCTCATTGTCCTGGAATGTAAAACTATTTCATTTTACATCCGTAATCAGAGGGGACTAAAGCATGGGTTGTCTGCTGATAATCTTAGTTAAGTGGTATCTATAAATACTCAGCCTCGGTCTTAATGAAAAGATGGAATCTATTTTCATTCAGTTGTTTTATTCTAGAACCACTTCCTCACCAATATATGCACACATATGCTTAAAATTAAACGCTGCTTTCTGAATGCATCAACACGATGCATAAGCATTGAAAAGGTATGTAATTACTGCATTCCAAATAATTTACTTCTAAAACCAAAGTTGAATTCGAGGTTATTGCTCGGGTTTTCTGACTCAGAAGCACAACTCTCAGTTTCAGGGAGAGGTGGTATTGTAGTTAGTTTTGCAAATTCTTGGTTTGTTTTGATATGTTTTGCTACTGAACTGGCATTTTTTTTTTTTGTGTGGAGCGTTTTTTGAGTGGTTACTTACACAGATGTGGCTATACAGCATACGTAGGTGTTAACATCTGGAAGTTGTGAAAACTGTATGTAAAGAAAAATGTATGTAGAAAAATGTAATTGAACAAGTTGAAATAGAATTCTGCATCCTATTGGTAGCCGGGGGGGGGTGTTTTCTCCTGAAATTATTTTTGCTGATGGAGCAAGCAACTCTTAAGCTCTCTTCACCAATAAAAGATGCAAATGCAAGTTTGTAATCTGTTTTGCTTTTCAGTCGCAGGAGTTCAGGTCATCTGGCATCTCAGTTAGAGTCACAGAAACTTTCAGCAACTTTTGGGAATCTGTTCTTTTTCCTGTAGTTAGTATGTCTCAGGTATTTCCCCCCCCAATGATTTCCCAGTACTTCTGCCAGTGGCTTAACTGAGTGGGATGAAGAGGATTCATGTGAAGTACTTTTTGTGAGAGACCAGGGACAGGAGCTGTAATGAGGTGACTGTCACAGTAGGGAGAGGAGGGAGCCTGTGACTGCTCAGCTCATCCCTGCAAATCCCAGGCAGACCTTCTGGGCGATTTGGTCAGGACCAGAGATAAGGGCTTTGGGCTTCCTTCTTATGCTGCAGGAGGGGGAGAAGAATGCCCAAACAAGCCCATCCCAGAAGTCATCTGCATTTGGGCAGTAGTTTAGTTCAGTGGCTGTGAGCAGCCACATCTTCTCTTCCTTTTTATTCATTTTTTTTTCCGGTTTCTCTTCCCATGCTAAACCCTTCTGGTGTCCCTCCATGTTGCAGTCCTGTCCCCATTCAGCTTCTCCCAAGTGTACTCTCACTGCCTTTCCCACATCCCCAGAATTGATGTGGGAGCATGAGTATGCTGCTTGGGAAGCACTCTTACAGAGAGCAGCTGCTGTGCCCTTATTGGTCTCAAGAGTGACCGTCCGTATTCCTGCTACCTCTGCACTTGCCTTCAGACACCTCAGAAATGTTCATGCATATACCTTGGTTTTAGTAAATGCATGTGCTTATCCTTCAGCCTGGTGTTGATTTTTAAAAATAAATAAGTATTATTCAAATGCTGGTGATGGATACAAAAGAATTGTCTTTCTAATGTTGCATACTTTCCTTTTTTTTTTTTTTCTTTTTTCCCTCTGTAGGGGAGTGGGTTGTATCTTTGTAGAAATGATTCAAGGGGTCGCTGCTTTTCCAGGAATGAAAGACATTCAAGATCAACTTGAAAGGATATTTCTGGTGAGTTCTTTATTGCTGAAGTAATGTGCAAAACAAAGGTTTGACTGATAAATGTTCATATATTTCCTTGTGTCAGGAATTAAATTATTGATAGAGCCAAGGATCAGATGCCTGATCCACAAGCTAGATACAGTTTACTTTATATATTCTTGAGGACTGTGTAATTTCACATTCTAATGTTTTCATTTAATATTTTTAAAGAAATCTGCAGAAAGGTTTTTATACAATTGTGGAAAAAAAGCTTTTCAAATGTAGGACAATGGAAATCCATCCAGTTTGTTATCCTTACTTTGCAAGTGATCAAAAACAATGACTCTGGTGCTCTATTAATATTAACCAATATCGTGATGTCAATGGCAAGTGTTTTTTGTGAGATAGACATGTAAATGAAGAGTAAGATAGGAAATGTAGTGAGAAACAGAACTGGAAATCAGAAAACATGCTTACGCTCAAGAATATCTAACTACTGCCTCTGCAGCCTGGTTGGGCCCTTCATAAGTATATGGGTAGCTTGTAGGCACTGATGACACATCCACATTGGGAGTGAAGTATGTCCAGCATAAACCATCATTTACACATGTTTATTTCCAGAGTTGTGTGTTTGGTGTGTGAGTTTTGGTGTTTGTTTGTTTTTGTTTTTAAACTTGCTCTTTCTCCTGTGGTGCTCTGGGTTTGGCAGTTCCCTTTCAAAAGGCTCAGGAACAACTTTTTTTGATTCTGTTTACTCTGATGCCTGCTGGGGGCTGCACTGTTGTGGAGTGGATTTATTCAGGGCAGCCACTGCTCATACTAACCAAAGTGGCTCCTGGTCATGTGGGGTGGCTACCCATTGCAAGAGCAGCAATCTCCGTTTTCCTTCTGACCACAGATTTAGAAGGGAAGCATGAGCAATACCCATGCTTCTAAAGGTTATTTTGTTAGTAGCTATTTATTGCAACTGCAGAGGATTTATTTGGGATTCTTTTCTGTCCATTGGGAAGTGAAAGTCCTTCATAATGTGTTTGTAAGATTTACGTTCTTTGTTTTGCTCAGACTTTTTTTTACTGTGTCTCTTGTGTTGGGACATGAGGCAATTTAGCAACTGCTTTTAGGAGTGACTCAAAAAATATCTCTAAAAACAGTGTTTGATTGTGAGATAAAAATATCTAATTTTCTGTGAAGTATTTTGTTATTCTTGGCTAATACCCTTAAAGTTCTGTGCTGTGGAAAAATAACAGTGCTGCAACATACACAAGGAGCAGCAGTTCTGAGCAGTTCCTGTGACATGTCTAATTGCTTCATTTGTTCACTAGTTTTTGTATTTGAAGCTAGCAACTTCTGGGCCAGTTTCAGGGGTTTGTTTTCTTAAATTATTATGCTTCTCATTTATTGGGATGAAACTTCCTCATTTATAGAATGTGAAATTTTGAAAACAATAAATTCCTATTTGAGGCTTCATTTCCTTTATTGTGGTAAAATTTTAGTGAATGTTTTTGCTATGTAAATTATGTATGCTTCTAGCACCAGAGATCTCTGCTCCCTTTTTAATGAAGCCTTTTTACACTATATTGTTTGAGATTGTTTGATAAAGTAAAAAAGTGATAGTGATAGGTATGTCATATAAACCTATTTTTATATGCCTTTTGTAAACCATTTGCAAACCTTTTGCATATTCCCATCTTCTTTTCTCTTCCCTATCCTTGCAATTATTAGTGTGTTAAAATGCCAAGATAAATACACCCCAAGATGAATTTTGAGGCCTGCCAATTTTTTAGTTAAATTTTGTTTTAAAACTGCAGCTGCAAATATTGGGAACTCTTGAAATAACAAAGAATAATTTATTGATAATGTGTCTTTAATTTGATCTTTTACAAACCTTCAATTGAAAAGATGAAATTTTTGACTGGATAGTTTTATGGTCCATTGTAAATCAGAGTTACTTTTTGAATCTCAGTTAATTAGGCTTTCTAATAATGTCTAGTTATCCTTAGCTAAATAGTTTCAGTTAGTGACTTCCTAATGTACTCTAAGCATCATTAAGAACGTAAGGTACCTATTGAAAAGTTATGAGAAACAGGATTATTCTTGTTTGGCTTTGTATTTGAACAGAAGGATTAAATTCATTCATTCTCCAGTGAATCATGTATAGTGTGGTAGTTAATAGCGCTGAAGTGCAAAATTAATCAGGTTGTTACACCAGATAACTAATACAATTAATTCCCACACAGTGAGCACTTACACAGCTGTGAAAGAAACAGCCCAACCAATAAAAGACTTTGTGGAAAAGTCTTCCCATAGTTCACGTTTTCAACATCCGCAGTGATGGTTTTCTTGTAATAAAAGGATAGTCTTCTGAAAATGGTTTAGGGTTGAGTCCACCTTCACACTAATCGTTTTGTTCTACAGGTCTCTTCTAAAACACACAACTTGCAGCAAAAGGTGTCGTATGTGTTATTAGTCATAGCTACACATATATAGCATGCAAGAGTCCAAATTGCAGCTTGGGGCATGTAGGGAATCAGTTACATTGTAGTAGGAAAGTCACCAAATGCTAAGAATAGTAGTCAGGAAAAAGTACAAAATTTATTGTGAATAACAGTAGAATTCTTAGATGGCTGTTTGATTTCCTATTGTATAAATTCCCATTGTTATGTAAATGCAATTAAAATATGTTTCATGTATGCTCTTTCAGTGGTTATCAAGTGGAAGTCAAAGAGAGATTCTCTAGATGCTTTTGCGTCTCTCTTCCATTTCCATTCTTCACATGCCTACATAGCAGGAGTAAATGCAACTCAGCACAGCACACATGTTTCTTCATCTGCATTGGTGAGCTCCCCTCTCAGTCTTCTCTTCTTCAGGCTAAACAGACCCACGTCTCTCAGCCTTTCCTCATAAGGGAGATGTTCCAATCCTCTAATCATCTTTGTGGCCCTTCTCTGGACTCTCTCCAGTAGTTCCCCATCTTTCCTGAAGTGGGGAGCCCAGAACTGGACACAGTACTCCAGATGCAGCCTCACCAGGGCACGTTAGAGAGGGAGGATGATCTTCCTCCACCCTCTGGCCATGCTCTTCTTAATGCACCCACGGATACCGTTGGCCTTCTTGGCCATGAGTGCACAATGCTGGCTCATGGTTAACTTGCTGTCTGCCAGAACTCCCAGGGCCTTCTCTGCAGAGCTGCTTTCCAGTGGGTCAGCCCCCAGCCTGTATTGGTGCCTGGGGTTATTCCTCCCCAGGTGCAGGAGTCTACACTTGCCCTTGTTGATCCTCATGAGGTTCCGCTCCGCCCAACTCTCTGGCCTGTCCAGGTCTTGCTGAACAGCAGCACAGCCTTCTGGCATATCAGCCACTCCTCCCAGCTTCGTATCATCAGCAAACTTGCTGAGGGTTCACTACGTTCCTTCATCCAGGTCACTGATGATGATGTTTAACAGGATTGGACCCAGTACTGACCCCTGAGGAACCCCACTAGCCACAGGCTTCCAGCTAGACTCTGCGCTGCCGATTACAACCCTCTGAGTTGTGCCATTCAGCCTGTTCTCAATCCACCTCACTGTCAACTCATCTAACCCACACTTCCTAAGCTTACCTATGAGAATGTTATGGGAGTCAGTGTCAGAAGCCTTGCTGAAGTCGAGGTAGACAACATCCACTGCTCTCCCCTCATCCACCCAGCTAGTCATGCCATCGTAGAAAGCTACCAGGGTCTGTTCTCAGAATTGGACCAGCACTTAGACATGTTGATGAATGAGCAAGCTACAAGTTGTCATTGTCACACTTTGGATCTGATAATACGGATTCTTTTTCCCACCTATACTTAAAAGTGTGAATAATCTTTTAAAAAACTGGGCTTACCAAATAAAATGGAAATCACCCACATAAGTAGGTTGCTTTTTCAAAGAGGTTTAACAGTTTAACTGTCTTAAGGCAGAGGTGATTTGTATTAATCTGCGTACTATTACATCTTTACTCCTATTTTTTCCTACATATTGGAACTGGGGTTACTTTCTGCATTGAACTCCATCATAGAAAATAAGAGAGAAGAGTGTAATTACAGCCTGTAAGAGCTAACAAGTCTTTTGCCTTGAAGTATCAAACTGGTGATGTGTCATAGGCATTTCCAGCACAGCTGAGGTCCTGCTAACTATTTCGTTGTTCTTTGAGGCAAGCAGCTTAAGGCTTTGTTGCAAAGTGGTGGGTCTGATGGACCAGTAATCTGATACAGTAATCTCAGCACTTCAGTTTAGTCTTGTAATGTGTGCACAAGACAGGATGAAGCTTCGATCAAGTACAGGTTGAATGGTAAAACCATGGGAATAGGAAAAATACGTGAGGCAATCTGTTGAATCAAAATAAAACTACACAAAATTGGGAAATACCATCTGTCTTCTGATACGGAGTAGCTAAAGCCTTTATCAGTAGTTTATTCCTCTTGATAATTTGTTAGCATACCTTTCTGTAGATGCAAACGTTGAAGTTTTCTGTCTCAAGGAGAACCTGTCATTGTCAATAAGCTTTAATTATGAATGGGAATAAAAGCAGCACCAAATGCTTTCAGACTAGCCCTGTACTGGGGAGAATTGATGGCTCCTTGGATCTGGTGATGGTGAGCATGAATTTGTTGGGTGTTAAAGCTGATTATGCAGAGAAGCCTGCAGTATGGTTATGCACGCCTTACCCTGAGCCACACTGGAGGTACCAACTTGGTTACGCCACTGATAATGATATAAGGATGTGCTTTTGTTCTTGCTGTTCTTAACAGATTCAAACCAGAGTTGAATTCCTTGTGCTAGCTTCATTTTAATTCTAGAGAGACTTTTTTAAGTGGGAAGGTATTTCTGTCTTTTCCACTTTATGTGAGGTTTCTGAGAGCCACTATAGATCAAAGTGAATTTTCCTCCCAGGCACCAGAACCTTTCTGATAAGGGAGTAATCTGTGTGTTGGCTGAACTTTAGTCTTGGTGCCAACTACACTGAAAATTACATTTCATTGCAAGAGTAATGTACAAAGGGTTCTCTCT